ACTATTATTCTTTTTGGAATCAACTTTTGAGTAAGTTTATTACTTTTATACTTTTATTTCAGATCTTTCAGATACAACCATATCCACCTCTCAAAGGAACTGCATTAAAATTTTATAAATAGAGGATACGAGACGTTTACAATCAAAAGATGCAGTTGGGAACTTCAATCAATCAAATTTATATTATCTATAGGTATTGTTCTATGCTGCAGAACGAGCAATTGTGATATAATGATGAAATTACAGTACTGGACAAAATAAATCATACATCTTTCAACAATTTGAATTCATTAATGTAACTATTCTAAAAAATAATAACAGTAATAAATTAAATTTATTGAAAGGTGTATGATTAATTTTATCCAGTATTGTATAATATAAAATTTCCAAGGAGAACAGAAAGTCAAAATAATGTCATTTATCTTGTTGACCAAAAAATTACAAAAAACGTCATTTTTACATCATTTTTGCCATAAACAATGTCAAATTGACATTATTTTGATTTTCTGTTTTTCTTGGGTTGTATATACTACAAATTAATTTATTGTATACACAACAATTACAAATAAACGAAATTATTTGCATCTTATCTTCTATAAATATTTTTATTTGCTATTCTACGTTTATATATATTTTTGTTTTTATATTTGTTTGTATGTACTTTTATTGTGCTTTTTTATGTGCCATAATAATTTTAATAATTTAATTACTTCTTTTATATATATTAATATATTAATTTCTATATAAGCATAAAATATCGTACTGAGATAAAATTGTTTTTAATTATTTTATTGCACTAATGTCAGTTACAACAGAAAATAAATATATTAGTTATTGTATACATTCAAAATAAAGCGCCACAAACGTCACATCCGCTTTTACACCAAGATGGCGACAGTTCTGCCGATCTCTTTTTTAAGGATCTTTACCCCGGTACAGCTTGTGCTCCGTCCCTTTATTCCTTAGTCCGTGGTGCCGTCACATACAGCCTGTAATCCGTAATCCGCACCGGAAGTCCGCATAAGTTACTAGGTATTTCGTCCATAACGTTACGTGTGTTTTTGGGTGTTTACGA